GCCTCAGTGCAGATCGGAAAACAAAATCCATTAGTAAATTAATTCTGAGGCCACACAGATGTGTGTGTTTTTTTTTTGTTTGTTTGTGTTTTTTAAAAAAAGGCAAAACCCAGGAAATAAGACAATACTTCTATCCAAGTCAAGCAGAGAGGAGGAAGGGGAGGGTTTCTCGCGTTGTCATAGCCCTCTGAGGGCCCCTCTCATCTCCTCAGTCCAGGTCTCCCACCGGAAGGGGCCACTCCTCTCCAAGATGTGCTGCAAAGGCGTTCTGGGGGGCCCTGGCGGCCCCCATTGGAGTGGGTAGAAACTGCAGACTCCAAACTCTAGTGAGGAAGAAACATACATTTCTGTTTTCCTGAATGCAACTGGTCTTCTAGTACAGTCTCCACTCCATCAAGCTGTCCTGCTCCTCATCCCAGCCGGTGGGGCCAGCCCCCTTTTCCTCGGATTGCCTACTTCTGGAGGACTCCCAAGGCCCCGGGGTGGGGCGGGGCAGAGGCTCCCTGGGGCCTGGGCCCAGGCATCTCTCCTCTTCTGTGCTGGCTCGGACCGGCTCTGTCTGCCTCCACACGGTGCTCACCCCTTTCCCATCCCTGGGGCTTGCCACCTCTTGGAGACGGATTCTGCCTGGAAAGTGAGGCCTACAGATCCTTCATCTTCATTCTGATCTTGCAGTCTCTGGGGCTCGGCTCAGGACAGAGGACCCTGCATCCTTCTGCCCGTGACCCTTCTGCTAACGGCTAAGTTAAAGGCGGCATAATTAGTAGCATGCGGGTCGTGTCCAGTTCCAGGAGATATTTTGTCTGGCTCAGACAGTATTTAAAGATTCCTTTCAAAAGGTTAGGAACATTTTGTTATGAGAGCTTTCGCTTTTAAATCCATCTACCAATTTGCAGGAAATGCAGGAGACAGAGGAGCATGTAAATGACACCAGCAAAACCCAGACTGTGGGAAACTCTATATGACCACAGGCATGGCTTCTTCTTTGTTGTTGTTTTTTGTTGTTGTTTTTAGAAAAACAATTTTTAATTGGTTTTAGAGAGAGGCAGATTTGTTGTTCCACTCATTTATGCATTCATTGGTTGCTTCTTGTATGTGCCTTGACCGGGATTGAACCCACCATCTTGGGGTATCGGGATTGATGCTCTAACCAGCTGAGCTACCCAGTCAGGGCCCAGGGCTTGGCTTCTTTAACAAATACATTGCAAGGGACAAAAAAGAAGGGGAGCGAGCCTATAGGTCAAAGGAAACGTAAAAACATCAATCGCGTGCCATGTGCAGACTTTGTTTGGATCCCATTTCAAACAAACTGTAAAAATATAAAATACTATAAACATTGGTGACCTTCATGGAAAAAATTGTAAATGTTAACACTGACAGGCTATTTAATGTGGAGTTACCGGGGTTTATTTAGCTATGACATTGTGTATGGTTAGAAACACGAGTCCTTATTTTTACAAAGAAAATGGGTGAGTCTAGGATTTACTTCCCAATATTCAGGGGAGGGGGATGTGGGTGGGATTACAGATGGAACAGAACTGACCATGAGTTGGTGCTTGTTGACACTTGGTGATAAGGGCAAGCAGGTTCATTATATTGATTTGCCGCTTTTCACTATGTTTGAAGTTTTCCATAGTTACCTTATTTTATTTTTAAAAAAAATTTTTAGAGGAGAATTTCCACATAAACATTCTGAGTTTTGGGTTCTCTGGAAGAAAATGGAAGGATCTGGTAAGAGGCCGGACCTCCACCCGGCAGCAACCAGCGGGAGTTGTGGGAAGTGCTATAGGGCGGCATCTGCCAACCTCGGAACCACGTCTCCATGCTCCCTGCTGCTCGCAGCCTGGCCCTAACCCTAACCCTAACCCTTACCCTTACCCTAACCTTAACCCTGCACCCTCCTTCCCCACGGCCTGCCTCAGCTGCCAGCGTTTGGGTTTGTAGCCCATGGGAACTTTCCTCTCCTTCCTTCCAGCACTCTCCTTCCCCGCCCGGCCACCATGGTTGGACCCAGTGGGGCTGGCCCAAAGGAGCTGTATGCTCTTCAGCTCTTTTCCACTATGTTTTTCTCGCAAATCTTTCTGGGCCATGAATCCTTTTTGATCCCCTGAGAATCCAGGATTTCGAGACTCAAAAGCATGAGACGAAAAATCCATTAGAAAATTAATTTATGAGGACAAGCAAATGTTTTTTTTTTTTTTTAAAGGCAAAACCCAGGAAGGAAGACAATACTTCTTTTATAGTCAAACAGAAAGAAGGGAGAGGAAGGTTTCTAGAGGCGGTAGGGACCTCTGAGGGTTTCGAGAAAAGCATTTTACAGAAGTGACACTGAGCAAGTTAGTTATCTATAAAGTATCTACGAATCACTGACTCGACAGAAACACATTATCCTTATCTGGGACCACCTGGACAATCTAGAATAATCGTGCTATCCAGATTCTGAGACCACTGAGTCAACAGGAATGCACTATCAGTAGCTACTGAGGCCATCTAGGATCATGGAACGATCTTGGGTCCCAGGAACGTGCTTCGATGACCAGTGAAATCACAATCAATGGGATATTTGAACCATCCTCAGTGGAGTATTGGGATAGCATCCATACATTCAGAAAAAAAATCAAAGAAACGTTTACATGAGTACAGAACCCAAAACAGCAAGGTTAAGATATTACATGGTATTTTTTACCCAAGTATGGTTGCTACCAGACTTCCGGTGTAGCTATGGATCATATACCTATCGGAATGGCTGATATGAAGAAGTTGGATGGTATCAAGTTCTGCCAAAGGTGGAGGAAAACAGAAATGCTCACAGGCCTGTGGACGGGTGTAAGCTTTCCCGGCAGCAGCTTGGAAGTGTTCAGTGAAATAGAATATGGACCCACCCCACGCCCAGCCCTCCTGGGTGCCGAGCCCAAAGAGACTCCTGCCCAGCTCCCCAAGGAGTGAGTATGTTCTCGCAGAATCGTTTGTAAGAGTGAAGCTTTGGAAACACCCAGAAGTTTACGAATAGTAAAGCAGATACAATAAAACGTGTGCTCTGCAGACGAGTGCTATTCAGCAGGCAAAAGGGAGTGCTCAGGTCCATATTCTTCTTGGTCAACATAGAGCCATCTCAAGACCTCAGAACCCTGCCTGGAAAAAAGTGAGGAGAGAGTGATATGTGCACAAAGGAACACTGAAGGTTATTATTATTATTATTATTATTATTATTTTAAATAGGCACACAATAATACCAATACGGGGCCTGATACAAATGGAAATACAGAGGAGTGGGACATACAGAATCGCAGGCATGGTAAGAGGAGAAAAGTGAGATTGGGGATGGGGTGAAGAGGTTAAAAAAAACAAACGTACGTAGAAGTGAGCCATGCCAGGGCTGATAGAGATGGTGTGCCTTGGACCAAGGAGACAGCTCATTCCTTCTGCGTACATGAGGTTTCAGCAAACAGAACCAAAACAAAACACCAGTTAATATGTAAAATATTAACCTGACGCAGGTGGAAAAAGAACCGAGCGAGTGGCTGTGAATAATGACAGGCCTGACACGTGCCCCGCGGTGGCAGCCAGGGGGCCTCCGGGCAGCGCAAGGGGACGTGGAGTGTCCGGGGCCTTCCACCCCTGTGACTCTCCAATGGCTGAGCTCCTGCTGGGGTCACTCCATGTGGCGGCCTTGAGTCTCTATAAACACAGCCTCCTTCCAGCCCCTCCGACGGCTATCAGGGGGCCTGCGGGGCCAGGAGATTTTCCCACAGGTTGTCAGCTCGGGGAGGCTCCGCCCGGTGTTAGCCGCCAGCTCCTCCTGCAAAGCCAGGATGTCCCGGGAACAGATGCTGCTCCTGCCCACCTTTCCTTCGGCGCCTTCTGTACCCAAAGCTGCTTCGCACACATGCTCTACGCTCCTAACTAGAAAGGCCCAGGTTACCTTTTCTCGGGATGGGAAGGGGCAGAGGAGAGCGGTTCTAGCGACGGCTCTGAGTTTGCTCGAAGACAATGAGAGGGAGAAGGACCATGAGTTCTCTGTTGTCTCCCGAGCCCATCCTTTTACAAACACATTCAGCGCAGCGTCTGCACCAGGAACTGTGCTGGGCACCATGTGGTTTGAACCGGACGCGGTCGCCTGCCCTCAGGGAGGTTCAGGGTCGTGGGGAGCGAGCAGTGCGTGTGGCCACGCGGGGGGATTGTGAGTGTGAGGTGCTCGGAGACCACGGAGGTGGGCGCCTACCTCAGATGGGAGGGCATCGGGGATGGCTTCTTGGAGGCGGTGCTCCTCGCTGAATCTGGAGGGATAAGAGGAGTTAACAAGAAGGGGAGAGGTGGTCTTGCTGGAGGGACGAGCACAGGCGATGACTGGGAGGCAAGAAACAACGGGAAGCAGTGGGAAGATGTCTATAGTTCGTCATCTCTGGGCTCAGGCAGATCGTGTTAGGACTTAACCAGTGTCCTACCTCCTTGATGAGGCCTGCGGAATTGCCCCAGCCCCATCCTGCTCCCCTCCGCTGCATCTTGGGCCAACTTTTACAATCACGTTTCCCTACTGTGTGTGTGTGTGTGTGTGTGTGTGTGTGTGTACTCACACCCAGCCAGAGGGTTTCCTATCCCAGTCCTGGCTCGGAGAAGGGCTCGCTAGCCCAGGGCTTCTCCCTCCCAGTGCCTGGCATTTAGCCTTCACTCCCCCACGGATGGCCTGATTCACCCAACTCTGAGCGGCTGTGCTGCTCAGCGAGGAGGGAGACGGAGGCCATGGGGAGCAGCACCAGATCCCCCCAGTGCTTTGGGCATTCGGTCTCAGAGGCTTCTGCCAGGTTGGGCCTGAACCAGGCTGACAGCTGGGCCGGTGCCCAGGTGGACCTTCTTCTGGGAGAGAGAACTGAAAATCGGGTAGCCCGCCTCTCAGCTGGTGCCCGGCGATCCCCACCGCCAGGCTGTCATGTTGTGTGGTCTCCTTCCTTGGAGCTTGATGGGTCTGCGTGACCAGCAGAATGCAGCAGAAGAGATGGCACGTGCCTTAGAGGTCAGCTGACCAGAGCCATCAGACTTCCGCCTCAGCTTCCATCTTGGACTGCTCCCTCTGGAAGGAGCCCCTGCTGTGTTGTGAGGACACCCAGGCAGCCCTGTGGGAGGTCCACGGCCTGTGAGGAGCCATCCTGGACGCACCTCTCCAGCTCCGATGAAGTGCTCAGAGGACGGTGGCTTCCTGAGAAACCCGGAGTCGCCAGCTTAGCGGCTTCCAAATTCCTGGCTCTCAGATACTCTTAGGAATGTTAAACGTTTGTTTTTAAAGCCCTGGCATTTTAGGGTAATTTATTACATAGCAATAAATAACCTACACGAAGCATTTAGCAACAAGGAGCGGCTTTTCCTGCTCATGTTTGGAAAGGCTTCCTGGCTGGGGTTTGGCCTCCTTTGACAGGCAAAAATATTGGGGCTCCCAAAGGTCACAGTCACTCACCCCCATTTCTTTTTCTCACTCCTTCTCCCTCCCCAGATACTTCCCTGGATGAACCAATAATCCAAGGACAGACCAGAAAGAAATCTCACCTGCACTTCCCTTAGAAATCTCACCTGACTGCCTGGAGCTTCAGGGAAATCAGCTGCCCGGACCCCATCCCCATTGCTCCGGGGAGGTGCCCAAAGAAATTGTGTCAACAAGCCAAGCCTCATCAGAGCCTTCATCCTAACCCTACAAAAGCCCTAATCCCTGCTCTGGTTAAACTGGAACCTAAACCTTTACGTCTGGTTATTCCGTGAGTTACTCATTAGTCCTTGTGCCCACTTTTAGTATGCGTGCAAACCTCACCTTTTCTTTTGTGAATCTGTCTATTGTTAGTTAACTCACATGCCCCTGCCCCTACCCTCACCCCTCAAACCTAAGCTGGTAGAGGGAAAGTTTTTCCTTCCACGGCCCCCTCACCCCAGGGATCCACAGAAATACTACCGCTGGACCTCGGCCACGGGGAGGCAGGACAGTGAGAAGCTATAAAAATTCATTAGCGGGTGGAATGGGGAACTGAGAAGATAATGGGTTCACATGGGCCCCATCCAGACTCACCTGCCTCCTGCTCCCAGCAAGACCACTTCCTTAACCTTTGGCCCTGAGAACAAGGAGGGTCTGACCAGCATCTATTATAATAAAGCTTCTGGAACAAAGCTTCCGGTCTGTTGACCACAGAGACAAGAGTTTTGGTCAAACTAGAACATCTAGGCGTCAATTGTGTTTTAGCTTTGGCCCAGAAAAGCAGCAAAACCAAAGTGAACAGGTAAAACCAACTTGTAATCAGGACCCCTACCCTAGCACCGACTGATCGCCAGAGACCGTGACACTGACTCTCTACACTCGCTCATTTCGATGAATCATCGTATTAAAGGACACACCTGCAAAGCTGATGTGAATATTCTATTGAGATCCTCCCCTGAGACCTCCCTTAAAATTCCTCCCTGCCTTTAGGAAACAGACAAAAACCCACAGGGCCCACACCTTCCTACGGAAATGGAATTTTTGGACTGGAACCTGGATTCTTTGTCCGCCGGATCCGAAGAATGAATCCACGGACAGAAGGTGGTACAGCAAAGGTGGAGATTTATTGAAGAACAAGTACAGACTCCGCGTGGGGAGAGGGAAAGAGTCCCATAGAATGGTCTCCCACGTGAGGAGGGGGAGAGGGTCCCACTGAGTTCTTTTTCCCTATAAAGGCTGCCAATCCAATTCCCCTATAGCCCTCTGATTGGTCACTATTCCCTTAGGCTGGTTACTGGTTACTATATAGGAATGCTGGAAGTTCACATCCTAGGCCACATGTTTACTAGGGGAAATCAGGGGGTGTGGCGGGGTGGGGGTGGGGGATGTCCCAAGACCAACCCCTGGACTCAACCCTGAGGGCCAACCTGAGTCCTGCCTAGGGAAGGGGAGCCTCCATCCCGATCACACTCCTTCCCGCCTCCCCAGCTTGGCTCAGCCAGGTATCTTTGGGGATGCCCCCAAACTTCCCTACCTGCACAGACCATTATTTTTCAACCAAGGGTAATTTTGCCCCCCCCCCCCCATCATGTGGCAAAGTCTAGAGGCATGTTGTTTTTTTAATTTTATTTTTATTGTCACAACTAGAAGGTTGCTAATAATTGCCCATAGTAAGAAGAGGTCCGAGATGCTGCTAAACATTCTAAAATTCACAGGATGGCCCCTCCCAACAAAAGATTACCTTGTCCAAAATGCCAATAGTGCCTCGGTGGAGAAACAGACCTGGGCCCCTCCCACAGCCTCCTCAAGGCCCAGGACCCCCTCCCCCACAGGATGGTTCCTGTCACGTCTGCACCTCTGAGAGCCACCACAGAACATGGATGATTCCATTTGCACTCCAGCTCTAGGTTCTTGGAAATAAAATAAGGATGTTGAGGTATTGACACATGTAGTTGACATTATTTTGTGTCAGGCTCTGTACTAAGCATTTTACATACTTCATCTTATTATCTTTCACAATTTAGATGCTGTTATGATCCCCATTTAATGATTGGGAAGCAGGATTGAAATATAGTGGCAACCATACTTTGGTAAAAACTGCTATTTAAATTTTAACCCTTCTAGTTTGGCCCCTGCATCTGATGAAAACACAGGGTACTTACCTCAGCTTCCAGGTGAAGACCTGGAGGCTAAGGCAATTTTCCCTTGCCTGGGACCAGGACCACAAGAGAATGATTCCCATTGACTCAGTAGCTTCAGGGATAGAAACTGTAGATAACCTTTAGAGTCTAACCGCTGAGCTCTGCTTCTGTGTTATCGCTATTGCAAGATAGGGCCACATTTCAATGTCCAGCAGGATGTGACTGGGAACCAACCCTGTGGGCTGTCCCCAGTCTTTAGAATTTAGTCTTTAGGATTTAGGATTTAAAACAAAGGAAAATTCTTGTGGTTTGAACCTTTAAAAGGGACTCCCTACCCCTGAAACGGGGCAGTCATTTGGAGTCCACCTGCGTGTGGTGCTCTTGTGGCTGTCCTGGCCAGTTCAATAAATCCTTGCTTGCTTTTGTTTTAATTAATTAACCAGCCTCCGGTGGTCTTATTTTGAACCCAGAGTTCGACCCCACAACAAGGATTATAAATGTTAAGTAACACACTAACGGTCCCACAGCGAGTAAGTGCCAGGGCCGGGTATCCGGCCTCCCCAGGCTGTAGGATGCGGCTGCTGATATGAACACCTAGGCCAGTGGTCGGCAAACTCATGAGTCAACAGAGCCAACTATCAACAGTACAACGATTGGAATTTCTTTTGAGAGCCATTTTTTTTTTAACTTAAACTTCTTCTAACACCACTTCTTCAAAATAGACTTGCCACCCTCAAGGGGCCAAAGAGCTGCAAGTGGCTCTCGAGCCGCAGTTTGCCCACCATGGACCTAGGCAAAAGCAAAGATGCTAACTTCGGGAGGTCAGGAACCTATTGTCCTCCCCCCACAGAGGGATCCGCACCACTCACTCCCACACCACTCACCGCAGCTCAGCTGCAGCCGGGCTCCCTGGGGCGGGCAGACAGCGGTTTGACCTGACCTAGTTCTCACAACAAGGGAGAGGAGGAGTAGGGAGAAGGGTTTGTTTTCGTCAAGGGACAGCTCAGACAGAGGACTGGGCAGGGAGAGATGGGTGAGGAAGGGAGGCTTAGGCGCTTCTTACTCTTTGTTATGCCGGGGGAGAGAATGGCAGGTTTGTTTCTGAGCCGTAAATGCCCTCCTTTGATCCCGGTGCTTATCGGAGATAAAGGAGTCGCAGGGCCTCCTAAGCGAGTGATTAGCGATTCTCACCACGCCCTGCGCCGGAGTCAGTCGCTGGGTCAGGGTTTGACCGGCGTGGGGAGGAGACGGGGCTGAAGTGGGGTGAGCTCCTGCACGGATCAGATTCCGGTTTGCAGAGATGAAGTCAGCCTCCTTCTTAGGCCGGAGGACAGAGCTAGGCCCCAGCTTCTGGGCTCTGCCCCGCTCCACTCTGCCATCAGGGCCCTGTGAACCCTGACTCCGCGGAGAGCGGACAGGCCCTCGGTGTTTTCAGAGCTGCAGGGCCATTGGAAAGCTCTTAAGAGGCTTCTGGTGCAAAGTTAAAAAGCGTCCGAATAGGACCTGGCCCACTCCTTCGGGCGGAAGGGCTTTGAAGTTCCCTTTGTGTGCTTGTTTTCCGTGGCCCGGATCCTGCAGTGCTGGAATGAGCCTGCGGCCCCGCCCCATCTCTGGAGATTTACTCCCAAACTCCCCACACCTCAGGAAAACGCTGTTGGTCCCACCCACCATCATCACCCCCCCACCCCCCACCCCCCGCACCGACTCCGCTTTCTCAGGCTAAACTATGAAGGAGGCCTCAGAGCCCCAACCTGGAGGCATTCTCTACCTGTTTCCGGTTTCTCTAGAGGTTTTCTGATGACTCCTAGAACCGGATGTGAGGGCTGAAGCTTCCAAGGAGTGTGCTGGGTGTGTGTGTGTGTGTGTGTGTGGGGGGGGGGGGGTTGTTGAAGAAAGGACTTGAGAAGGACAATGGGGAGGGAACAAGATCATCCCTGCCGGCCGCCCCCCCAAGCGGAGGGCCAGGCCTAGGCCAGGAACAGCAGGGCCCAGAGAGAAGAAGGAAAAAAACAAAACAGGGGCATCCAGCCTTTCCAGTCGTGTCCAGTGAGTCAACCACTGCGGCTTGTGTAGCCAGAGATCAGTCTCAGGATCTTTATCACTCTGAGCTTCACAAAACAGGCTCTGCTACCGCACTGCTCAAGTCCACCAAAACGTCTGTATTGAAGGAGGAGAGGATGAGGAGGGGGGAGGAATAGAAATAATGATAGGAAGAGAGATAAGGAAGGAAAAAGGGAGGAAGGGAGGGAGGGAGGGAGGGAGGGAGGGAGGAAGGAAGGAAGGAAGGAAAGAAGGGGAGCAGAAATCCTAAACTAGCTTGTTACTTTGCCAAGTAAAGACTTTGAGCAATGGTGTCATCTTGTGGCTGTGAAGAGGAATTACAGCCAGCATCCATATATGTGTGTGTGTGTGTGTGTGTGTGTGTGTCTCCCCTCCCTCCTGCCTTCTCTTCCACTTTTCACCTATATTCCAGAGTACTACGGATTTCTATATACAAGGTTCTAGAATAGCACTAGCCTAAAACAATACCCGCTAACCACATGTGAGCATTTATACTTAAATGTAAATCAGTTAAATTTGAAATTCACTTCCTCAGCCACGTGATGCATTTCAAGCCTGGTGTGACCAGTGACCGGTGCATGGGACAGCACAGGAACAGGGCACTGCCATCACCCCAGAACGTTCCCCTGAGCAATGCTGTTGCAGGAAGTTCAGAGTTGTCATTTGATGGAGCAGTATTACAATTCAGAAGAAATATCGTTTAGTACCAAATTGTACCTTCAGAATGACCCCTGGTTAAATACATATATATTTTAATGTTTGTATTGATTTCAGAGAGGAAGGAGAGAGAGAGAGAGAGAGAGAGAGAGAGAGAGAGAGAGAGAGAGAGAGAGAGAATGATGATGATGATAGAGAATCTTTGATTGGCTGCTTCCTGAATGCCCCCTCTGAGCTGTGCCCACCCACGGTGTCAGATGCTGCTGGGGCACAAGCCCTGAATCTTGGCATCTTCACCCCACATCAGCCTGTCCTCAAAATGACTACAAACGCTGCCCCTCTTTCACATGTCTCCTAGGTGAGGCCATATTTGCCCAGTGAAATACCTGCTATTTGGTGTTTGACTCAACCCTAACCTTAAGATGTATTCCCTCTTCAACAAATATTTACTGCACCGTTTTTTATGAGTCAGGCACTGTCCTAAGACCTGGGGAGCTGGCTGAAAATAAAAACATCTGCACTCAGCTCCAAAGCATCTTACATTTTAACTGTAGAGACAGTTATTAGGCCCATGCGTATCTATAATAATACAAGGGTAATGTGCTAATTAGACTGGACGTCTTTCTGAACCGAAGCCAGTTCTGGGTGCCCGGTGGCAGCTGGAGGGAAGTCAGCCGGGGTCCCAGGTTCCAGAGGGAAGTCGGTACCCGCAGCCAGGAAGGAAGGCCTAAATTTTGCACGAATTTCGTGCATCGGGCCTCTGGTCTAATACAATGGGAAGTGGTAACGTGCAATGAAGGGAAGTCAAGCAGAGGATTTGTAAGGCTATTTTAGATAGGGTAATTGATCAGGCACACTTAAAAAAAAGTTTTTCTTATTGATTTTAGAGAGAGGAAGGGAGAGGAATAGAGAGAAAATCAATGACACACACACACACACACACAGAGAGAGAGAGAGAGAGAGAGAGAGAGAGAGAGAGAGAGAGAGAGAGAGAGAGAGGGAGGAGGGGAGGGAGAGTCTTTGATTGGCTGCCTCCTGCACACCTCCTACTGGGGATGGAACTCTCAACACAGGCATGTACCTTGACTGAGAATCGAACCATGATCTTCTGGTTCATGGGCTGATGCTCAACCCCTGAGCCACACCAGCTGGGCTCAGGCACACTTTTATAAGCGGATGACATTTGTGCTGAGACCTAACTGCAGCGAGGGAGAAGGCCAAGCGGAGACCTGAGCGGAGAAGGAATTGTACATGTCCCTGTCCCTGCCTGTGGGTGTCCCTGGGGGCTGTGGCTCTGAGCTAAGCTGCTGTAGGAGATGACACAGGAGGTGGCCTGGGGGTCGGGGGGTCTCGGGTCTATGAATAGGTCTGACCTTTATCTCTTCTCTAGCGCCCTCCGTCTTCAACATCCAAAGATACCCTTATGGAGCCCTCCTGCCAAGGGCCCCGAAGCATGGGGGGGAGGCCATGCTCTGGGTTCAGACTCAGGACCTTTTGGCTCCCATCTTTCTGAATGCAAAAGCTGACTGAAGTTCTTTTACTTATTATTTATTTACTTGAGAGAGTGGAAAGGAGGGGGAGAGGCAGAGAGAAAAGTCCCTGTGAGAGAGACACACCAAATGGTTGCCTCCTGCAAGCACCCTGACCGGGGCGGGGGATGGAGCTTACCACTGAGGTAACTGAGGTACGTACCTTTGACCAGAATCAAACCCGGGACCCTTCAGGCACAGGGCCGCCGCTCTGCCCACTGAGCCAGACCGGCCTGGGCCAAAAGCAGACGTTGGATGTGAGAAATCCAAAGTGCTTCCCTGGCAGGGGCCGGTGTTTTCTTAACCCAAATTGCCAGTTCCCTCCTGTGACCCATGCTGATCCCATGAGCCTGTGCTTGTAGCCAGCAGCCGGATCTCCAGCTGAAGGTGTGCCCTGCCATCTCCGCTGAAATGAAAAGGAGCCGTACTTTTGGAGAGCGAGCCCACGCCGGAGAGCCGGGTACGAGCCCGCTCTGGGCCAGGCTGGCCTGCTCTTTCCTTTGATCACCTAACGCACACAGGGAAGTTCCAGGTGTTTCTGCCCGTTTTCCAGGCTATAAAAAAAGTCACCTGGAACATTATTTGGGCGCAGGGGACGGGTGCTAAGCCTCTTTCTTCACTTGTGGAAGCTTCTATTCTCTATAGGCAGGGGACCGCTTGTTTGTCAGTAAGACTGCTCCAAACGAGATCGCTCTAGGGGGCCTGGGTGGGTCTGCTTTTCCAGCCGGAGTCAACAAGCATGAGCCAGTTCTTTCCCGG